CTCACATTTCTGATGGAACTTACACGTTATGCGATAATGGAAACTAAATGACCTAATTGTTTTATTAGCTATAATGGGGGGCTTGTTATTTTCTTCAACCTGACTTGTGAAGTTGCTTATATTTCCCATACACCATGTGTCTTCTGAGGAAGCTTGTTTCTGTAATATTCTTGTGGACTGTTAACTTTATGCGCATAATTGAACTTCTAAAAATGTTGTTCGTTTCACAAACGCAGAATATCAAACTTTATAAATACGTCACCAATGCCTAAAGAGGAAAATGAAAATAAAAGTACTAAAAAGCGAATGTTTGTTAAGTCTGCTTGATAGCAATTTGTGGTGTTAGTTTTAATCCTGGGCTTCTTATTTGATCGTGGTTCAGAGAATAAAAATGATATCCGATCTGTTGATCGCTGTTTCAAAAGCTGAGAGACAAGAAGCTAGGATGAAGGTACGGCAGGATTCCTTGAGACTCGGAAATGTGGGAGTAATCAGGTATAAAAAGATTTAATTGCTTCCCGTATTTAGTTAATATATAATGATTTAATTGCTTCCCGTATTTAGTTAATGTTGTTGATACTGATTTCTCATGCCTGACACAGTGCTTAGTCTGAGAGAGAGAAAGTTACCACAGTGTCCATAATTCCATGGTACTAATTAAATGCATGACTCTGTTGTTAAACTTATGTGGGAGGAAAAAGTGTTTTGGTGAATCATATAAATGTGATAATTCTTATAATTGTCTCTACATAAGTGGAAGGAAAGTTATTATGTGCATCATTCATGTTAATGTTGTATAAGTGTTACAACTCATTGTGTATCTTGATTAATGAATTTACCCCATGTTCTTTTTGCCTTCAGAGCTGGAACAATCATTTCCGAGACGTGGGAGGATGGGCAAGCGCTTAAAGATCTAAATGCTCATCTTGTATGTTATTCTTTCTATATTGTCTATGTAATCATAAAAGTAAAAATTATTTAATATAGCAATTTAGTCCCAAGGATTCTTTTATTAGTGTACTCGCATGATTATTTCATTTAATTTTTGATATATCTCCCTTTCATGTTCTTTTAGAGAGAGTTGTTGGAAGCTAAGGAGGCTGTTGAACGACAGAGGAAACAATTGAAGAAGCGACAATCTGGTGATTCATAATTTTTTTTGATTACAGGATTTAAGCATTCTTATTGTCTTTACTTTGTTAGTTTAAGTTCGGATATTATATGGAACAAATATATGCATATATTAAGTTTGTTTTAATTGTTATGGAATCAGAATTAGTATAACTTGAGGATGTGAATTCCTATTTAAAGCAGTATTTTTAAAATGCTTATGTATGTTGTTTTCGAGTAGAGTGCACATGAGATTAACTACCATTTATGATAAACAAATGGATGCCATGTTCTATAGAACTTCTAATTGCATGCTGGCAGTCAACAAGCTTCAATTTTGTAAATGATGTGCTATTTTGAGCCAACTCATTAGAGAATTATTTGCTAATCAGGAGTCTGGCTGTATATTTAACCCTCATACTATAGTCTCTTTTAGCCATTATTTTCACGATATGTATGTCGAAAAGATTATGACCAAAAGTTGGCTTACTGAGTTGGGACCGGTGGGTCGTTAGTAGTGATGTCTGACATTTACTTGCACCCAACTTCTACTTGAAGACCTTACTCTGTATATGCACCTAAATTTTATACACACACATACATCCAGCATGACTCGGAAGAATAAGTTTTTAAATGAGTATACTTCTAAGCACTAAGTGAAGTACAACTTTTCTTTTGTTTGAAGACAAGGGTGATGCTAGTGATGTAGAATCTGGTGCGCAAGAAGAAGATACCCTTATCCAGGATGAGATATACAAATCACGTCTTGCCTCTATTAAGCGTGTAAGTTCAACTCTACAAGTTATTTCCTTATCTGATTTTATTAAAGAGCTGTACCAGTTATCTTGATTTTTTCCTTGCAATCCACATGATTGAGTTATGATTTTTCTTTAGGAGGAGGAAAGTCTTCTCCGTGAAAGAGATCGCTATGAACTAGATAAGGGAAGGCTTATACGTGAAATGAAGCGCATTCGAGATGAGGATGGATCCCGTTTTAACAATTTTCAAATACTGAATAATAGATATGCCCTTTTAAATCTTCTTGGCAGAGGTGGATTCAGTGAGGTTTATAAGGTCAGATATCTGGCAAGCTTGTATCTTTGAAATGTTTTTCTAAGCATGTTTAAACACGGATGTGTCAGAAGTCTAGTAATCCTTGCCAAAATTGGCAATTGTGAAAATACATCTTTTTGCGGTGATTTGAAATTGAGAAATTTCCGGCAGGCTTATGACTTGGTAGAGCATAGATACGTTGCATGTAAACTTCATGGCCTGAATGCTCAGTGGAGTGAAGATAAGAAGCAAAGTTACATAAGACATGCAATTCGAGAGTACAACATTCACAAGACATTGGTGCACCATCACATTGTTCGGCTTTGGGACATATTTGAGATTGACCAGAATGCTTTCTGCACTGTCTTAGAGTATTGTAGCGGTAAACTAACTTAACCACATTTTATGTCTGGGAGCATTTTTTATTTAGTTTCTTGGTAGAGAATATCTACAAATTCTGTCTGGATAATGGTTTGATATATCTACCATGCATATTTAATTTCATTTTATCTTCTGATTTCTTTTATTGCTTCCAGGCAAAGACCTTGATGCTGTTTTGAAGGCAACACCAGTATTGCCTGAGAAAGAAGCTAGGATTATCATAGTTCAAATATTTCAAGGCCTTGTGTACTTGAACAAAAGAGCACAGAAGATTATCCATTATGATCTGAAGCCTGGCAATGTTCTCTTTGATGAGTTAGGTGTAGCAAAAGTAACTGATTTTGGTCTTAGCAAAATAGTAGAGGATGATGTTGGATCCCAGGGTATGGAACTTACATCCCAAGGAGCTGGAACATATTGGTAAGTATGCAGTTTAATGTCCTTCCTTGAAAATGTCTACCTTTGCTGTTTTTTTCTCCCCAGTTCTGCTGCAATTACCTCATATCTTATGCCGGTTATCTACTAAATCTACCTATTCTTTCTATTTTGTGCTTGTTCTAGTTTGTGGTCATATCTCATTTCTTTTAACTTGCAATGTTGTGTTGATTTTTATTTTGTGATTTCAGGTACTTGCCCCCGGAATGCTTTGAGCTTAGCAGAACGCCTCTGATTTCATCAAAGGTAGGTGACTCCATCCCCAATCTCTTCCTTATCACTTTTTTAGCAGATGGTTTTATTACCTTGTAACATCAAATTTTTCTGCCCTTGCGAATTTTTCTTCTTGGAATGCTTAGAAGTTATCAGACCTATGTACCCAAATGGTTTGTTATTTGTGTCATCAATTTTTCTTTTGATGTGGTATTTCATTAAAACCAGGTGGATGTTTGGTCAGCCGGTGTTCTACTTTACCAAATGCTTTTTGGTAGACGTCCTTTTGGGCACGACCAGACTCAAGAACGAATATTGCGTGAAGACACAATTATTAAAGCTCGTAAAGTTGAATTCCCATCAAGGCCCACTGTCTCCAACGAGGCAAAGGTTAGTTCTGTGTTGTCTTTGTCAGTTGCTACGGCATATTTTTGTCTTGATGGATGAAACAATTCTGTTAGTGAGCATCAAAAGCAGGTTTAAATTATTAATTACATTTATTTTGGACTTCAACTCGATGTTCAATTGTTCATTCTAGAGAGAATTTTGGACTTGCTAGATGCCACTTAGGATATAACAGCATGAACCAATTGAGCTAGAACTATAGGTTCAAGGAGGCATTCGTAATCTGTTTCTGTGCATGTGCTGCAGATTTGCTGGGTTTTAGTGTTGTGTTTCAGCACTTTCACAATTCGGAGATGATTCGTTTTGTCCTAAGAGATCTAACAAGTGTCGTATTTGTGCAGGATTTGATTCGTCGATGTCTAACATATAATCAAGCAGAAAGGCCAGATGTTTTGACAATAGCACAGGATCCGTATCTTACATATTCGAAGAAGTAAAAACTGTACAACAGAGATCCAAAAAAGAAAAGAGCAGGGTGCGGGATGCAGCAGAATTTGCTTCCAATTCTCTTGAAATAAACCACATGGAATTTTGTACAGATTGTAAAGGTTTTGTTGTGATAATACATCTACCCTGCTTCTGTTTGTATTAACGTCGGTATTTTGGTCTATGAAAACAGATTAATATCATATAGAGCTTTTAAAATTCACAAAAGAACAAGTCAAAACGACCTTTTTGGCCCTATAATTTTATTAGTTGTCAATTTAGTCTTTGAATTTTTATTATCTCTTTCGGCGAACCAGGCTCGTACTTGGTTATTATGCTTAATTTACCTGCAGCCATCAATCAACAAGTTCAAGGTTTTAGCAAACGAAAAGGCATGTCTCTTCAGCAAAGTAAAACCTTCCTGGAATAATAAAATGCTAGGATCATTAAAATTGAAAACCCTTTTGTTCTTTCGGGAGACTGAGTCGGTGCTTGTAATAAAAGTTGCTCGTTCTTTTTGTTACGTTAGTGGTAAGGACCAACTGCAATGTGGTTGGAGCGTTGCTTTCATGGTTATTCTGCTGATTCTGATGGCTCCACCATGCGAGCTCAACATACTCCTTCCTGAGATTAAAACAAACGTCTTTCTTCTTCACTATGGGCAATTGCACAAATCCAATTCAATCAATTGTCAAGAGCCAAATAGAAGCTAAACTTGCCCAAAACAACTACAAATCCTACGCATAATGCTTCAATCCAATGTTATTTACATCAAAAGGTTTACATTAAGAATCAATTATCCGTTAATGACATAAAAATTTATTAGGCAACGTTTTAAAATTTTAAACTTAATTTGATAAAATACGAAAGGTTTTTATTTATTGGGTATTTTGGTTGGAATGTATTTTTGTATACTCAAGCCCAAGGTTTGAGAAGGGAAAATATTGTTATAAATGTATTCCTGGTTGCAAATTTCTTTATTCGTTAAAGCCGAAGTACCCCCCACATCAGATGGCGGCCCTCACCAACACAACCGCCGTAGCCGGCTCCCCTAAAATTTCACCGGTTAAGGCTCTTCCGTTCTTTTCCTCCAGATCGCTCTCCTTTCCCTCTTTCAATCAATCCATTTCCTCACTCAAACCCTTAAGCCTCACCAAATTCCCCACACTTCTCCCTCTTGAAAGCTCCCTTAATCCCTCCCCTTCTCCCTCCCCGTCTTCTCTCAAATCTCGCCTCCGCGACGGTGATACCCTATACGGCATCTTCCTCCTCTCGTTCTCCCCCACTTTGGCCGAGATCGCCGCCTTCTCTGGCTACGACTTCGTAGTTATCGATATGGAACACGGGCCTGGGGGAATCAACGAGTCACTTCAAATGCTCCGCTCCCTCACCCAGACCAACACCCCGGCCATCATCCGCCTCCCTGAGTCCTCCGAGGCTTGGGCCAAGAAAGCCCTTGACCTCGGCCCACAAGGGATCATGTTCCCCATGATTGAATCCGCTAAAGACGCTAAAAAGGCGGTTTCGTATTGTCGTTTCCCTCCCGACGGAATCCGTGGATCCGCCCACACGGTAGTGAGAGCTTCCAACTACGGGATCAACGAAGGTTATCTGAGTAACTACATGGAGGATCTGTTGATAATGTGCCAGGTCGAGACGGTGGACGGTGTCAAAAAAGTGGAGGACATAGCTACCGTCGAAGGGGTCGACTGTATTCAAATGGGTCCGCTGGATTTAAGCGCTAGCGTGGGTTACCTTTGGGACCCGGGTCACAAGAAGGTAAAGGAGGTGTTGAAGACGGCGGAGAAAGCAGTTCTTAAGTCGGACCCGAGAAACGGTGGTGGAGCCTTCTTGGGCGGTTTTGCAATGCCTCATGATCCTCCGGAGGGGCTCGGAAAGCGCGGTTACCATATGGTTTCCGGTGCCGTTGATATTGGGCTGTTTAGAAATGCAGCGGTGGAGGATGTTAGGAAGTTTAAGATTAGTCTGAAGGCTGATTCCGATGATGATGGGGAAGATGATAAAGACTCCGATGAAAAATATTGGAGCGAATAAAATTGATGTGTTTTTTTAGTTCGATTTCCTCTTTGGTTGCAATCCTTTGTAAGCATTGATTTCGTAGACGGCAATGAAATCAAGTTCGAGTTCGGTTCGGTTCAGTTCATCATTATGAGATTTCGACCATTTCTCTCAACTTTCTTAGTGACCTTCAATTTAGCTGCTTGCTTTATGCTGCGAAACATGTTCATTAAAGGCTTCAATTTACTCCCCAGATAGCTGTTCTCTATGATCATCACTGAAAACTCTAACAAAAAGATGACTATAAAAGTTTCGTATTTGAAAGAAAAAAAATGAAATAATAAGAAAAATGAGATAAACAACACATATCAATACCAATAAAAGAACAGGTCATGTCATCATGTTGCATTCGATTTAATATCCAAGTTACTAAAACAAGAGTAATCCCAAGTCCAATGATCAAATCGAAGGGGAGAATACATTGTAACAATGGGGAAAGAATGGACTTGTTTTGTCGTGTGAGTATCATCCAAATATCTGTAACTTAAGGTTGTAAACCCATCTGCTTTCTGGTTTTGCCTACAAACAAGTTTCCGGATTTGAGCAAGCCTGGAATACGTCCACTCAGAGTCGTAAACGGAAATTGGGCGACCGCATCTTTCCTTCCGAGGGAAACTATTGAAATCGTCGAACCAGGCTCATACTTGGTCATTTTGCTTTCTTTTCCTCCATCAACAACTTCAAGTTCTTAGCCACCACCAAGGCATGTCTATGAGCTAAGTAACCTTGTTTGAGTTCCTGGATTATTGCGGTATCTAAATGTTAGGACCACCTTGTGAAACAAGATATTAAACCATGTAACAGGACTGATTCAATACATAAAACCAACACATTTGCAATGTAGCATTATCAAGTCTAAGGTAAACGCTTATTCAACAAAATTATTCTTAACTGTGGGATAGGAGGACTTACTGGGATGTCGGTGATATCTCCGATTGTGAATATGTTGCTTCGACCCTTGATTCTCAGATACTCATCAACCATCAACCTTCCGTTTTTATCCAAATTAGTCTTCAATATAGTCTCGCTAAGCCATGCTGTGGCCAATGGTTTTGCGACACAAATTAAATGGCAATCCGCTTTGATACTTTCTCCGGTCGAGGTTCGATATACTTGACTTCCAACTGAGGTGGAACTCAGATCAACTGCTTGCTCTAGTTTTACTTTAACTTTCCTTGATCTCAGCCAACCTAAACTCTTGTCAGAAGCCTTGGTTCCAATGAATTCCAGTAACCTTGGTCCCTTATGAACCAGCGTAACCTTCTTTCCAGGAAAGGCGCTGGCGATTTCTCCGGCAAGTTCAACACCAGAAGGACCTCCTCCAACAATCAAAATAGACTGAGCAGATTGTATCTTTTGATTTTCTGCCAGCATAATGGATATAATAGAATTTACCTGAGCAGAACAAAATCCAAAATTAAAATTGTTCTATCTTGTACATGTATATTATAATATACATCATGTTCCTCAATAATGCACTCCACAGCTAGAGTATATCCACAAATAATAACACACTTTAGTTTCACAAAACATTTGCAATATGTTCATAGCCTCGATTCCCGGTACTCGAATCATAGCCTCTAATAGTAAGATTAGGAAGACAAAAAGTTGCCGCAGTTTTTTTACCTGCATCATATTGATAAAGTCTCTCCACCTTAGTTATTGGAACAGGATCGGTGTGTCCAGTAGCAAGTACAAGATATTCATAAACAATGTGGCAGCCGTCAGCGGTCAATACATCGGTGTCGGTGATGTTTATCGCAGCGGACTTTACGATATGTCCATTGGTAAGGTAATCTCTATGGTTTATTACCGATCTATCCGCAAACGATGGCTCCACCATGTTCCTTAAGTTTGCCCATGTGAGCTCAAGATACTCCTTCCTGAGATTAGAACAAAGATCTTCCAATTAATCACTCTCCATTCCGAGGCAGTTGACCAAATCCAGTTCGATCAATTGTCAGAATTAAGAACTTTTAAAGAGCCTGCCAAATAGAAGTTAAACCTACCCAAAACAACTACAAATCCTACATATACTGCTTCAATCCCATATTATATTATTTACAAATATCAAAAGGCTTTCAGCAGGAAAAATAAAACAAACCAGAAATTTAATTCAGCTGTTGGGTTCATTGGACTCGCATTTCAGAGTTTTTCATCGGACATGAATTGAAATTGAAGAAAAACAAATCATTTTGAAGGGGAAAAAGCCAAGAAAACTTACGGATCGATGAGAGTGAGATCAGCATCGAATTGGATAGTTTTGGCGAGGAGAGAGCCGGCAATTCCACCACCAATAACCACCACCCTTCTTCTTCCTCCTTCAGATTCCATGATGTCTTCAATGTTTTTGGTTTTGTTTTTGCCTCGTTGGTTCAGATTATGGAAGAAAGATTTGTTTGGGTGCTTACTTGAAAGCAACTCGAGTTCACATCAAAGGGATAATATCTTTAGTGTTGGTAAAGAAATGTAAGGTCAAACATTAGAGGGGAAGAAAGATTGAATTCTTCCAGATCTCATGATTTGTAGATACAACCAGCATTATGTTCTGAGAAGAATCAATTAAGAAATTAAAAATTAAAATACTTCTGAATTTTGGGTCCAATGGATGCTTCGATTTCAATGGACTCTGTCGTTGGATGGATCAATATTGATATTTTCGTATTGCTTGTGGGATTTTTGTCCTTTTAGCCAATCAAGGTTCGACATTTGTAACTAAAAATTTCACAGTTAAAAATATTGTTTTTTTTAGATTATGTCTATTGTAACTGAAAAATGTATCAAGTGCATAATATTTTAGGTTTAGACAAAGATTATTGTATTTTTTATAGCAAATTATATAATTTGTATATCTATTTTTTTACAACCTAAAAATTACTCCCGACTTTTATCGATTATAACTGAAATTTATTATCAAGTGTATAATTTTTTAGAGTATATATAGTAACATTTTAGGTAGTAATGCAACATTCTCGAATGTAATCGAAATTATTATTAATTGTGTAGTATTTTAAGGTTTAAATCCAACGTAAATTAATTTTAGATTTTCTCACCGCATAATAAAAGTATAGATTAATTTTTAGTTAATTCTCACATATATTCGAAGAAATAATTATATAAATCATAAAATAGATCGTATAAAAATCTTTACTAATTGAGGTTTGGAATTTAAGTGTGGGCTTGATGTAAAATAAATCTTCAAACTATCTTTAAGATAATTTTAGGTGTATAACATTTTTTTTTGCTCAAAATAGGTCCCTAAGTTTCCAATATCATACTTTTAAGTGTATGGTTCATAATGATCGTTAAAACTGACAATTATCTAACACATATTATTACTATATTTTCTAAATTTTTTATTTTTAAAATAAAAATATCATTTAAAAAAAATCCCTCCCCCTTTGCCCCCTCCACCCGGGGTCCCAAATTAATCCCAAAATTTCACCCCTGGCCTCTCGCTCAAATTCTCTCTCCTACTCCGGCTGTCCCCCTTTCTCCTAATATCTGGGATTATTGGAATTAATTCCCAACTAAACCCCTATCTATTAAAAGTAGGGTTAGGGATTTATGTATTTAGGAATTTGAGAAAATAATAAGAGCAATAACTAGGACTGTAAACGAGCCGAGTCGAGCTCGAGTATTGTTGAGCTCGATTCGAACTAGAAAAGTTTAAAATTAGGGTTGACTCGAAAACTCACGAGCTAAAAATTATCAAACTCAGCTCGAACTCGAAATGTAATATTGAAACTCGACTCGAACTCGAAAAGGCTCGAACTAAAAAAAATTTAGGAGCTCAATTGAAGCTCGAGACTCGAGCTCGATTTTGTGCTCGATTTTGTGCTCGAACTCGATTCAAGTTCGAACTCAAACACGAATTTGAACCTACAAAAATCTTATATTACATTTAAAAAATATTTTTTTAAAATTTTATAATTGTCAATAATGTATTTTTAATAATGTAATTTTAAAAAATCTAAAATTATAATATAACATTTTTTCAAGTAGCTCGCGACCTTTTCGAGTCGAGTAGTAAGTAGCTCGTTTTAGCTCGTTAAGAATTTGAGTCGAGTTCGAGCTCGAGTCGAGTTCATTCGATTCGAGTGTTGACATAGCTTTGATCGAGTCGATCTCAAGTAGCTTGCGATCTATCTCGTCTCATTTACAGCCCTAGCATTAACCGATCATTAAATAAAGAGTAATAGGTAGATGATTTTTCGACGATAAAGATAATAATCGAAGACGACCATAAAAGAGTTTGAAATTAATAATTTCAGGATTTTTGTGTTTTTATTCTAAATAATTTTGGAAATTTTTTAATTTAAAAAAAGTTATGCCTTTTATTTAAAAATATATTTTTTAAATTTTTATAAATCTAACATGAGTCAAATAACATATAAATTTAACATTATTACGGACTAGACACCTAAAAGTATAATGACATAAATGTTAGGCTCATATTTTAAACGAAAAAAATCTTTAAACACTTAAAATTAACTCAAGATATAATTTAGACACTTGTTTTTGCATTAAATTCAAAATTTATACTAAAATCATTTAATATGATTCAAAATTAATTATTATTTAATAAAACTATTAAATTAATATTTTTTATTAATCTTTGTTAAGTACAATATAATATTTATTTAAAAATAACTCTCAACTATTTTATATTGAACGCTCATACCCTATTAATCATGATGCTTGAAATTAAAACCTCAAAAAAATAACAAATATTTTATCATAAAAATCGTTTTGTTCATGCTTAAAATTAAAATTTTTAAATAACAAAAAGAACAAAATAAATCAATTATTGAGCACTTGAACCTGGTACGACTCAATTCATCGTCATATGTGGTTACATTAAACAAGTGATAAGACCACGTGATCTGTTTTTTATAGTTAGGTCTGAACTGTTTGGTTTTATTGAAATTTAAATTATTATTGAAATGTACTTAAATTGTTGGATAAAATATATGTTTAATATATAAAATTATCAGTTTTATTTCACTTTAATACCCAAACTTTTTTTGTTTTAAAATGATACATATTGTTTATTTTTTATTTCATTTTAGTACTTTGTTGTTAAAAATTTAATGGAATTGTTGAAGTGGCATTTATTAATGGATAAATTATATCATTTATCATTTAACTATATTCTCGTTCTTATTTTGGTCACTAAATTTTAAAAAAATCAATTTAACTACTCAACTTTCAAATTAATCATGTTTGAATCACTTTAATTTATTTTATTAATAATTATTGTGACATGATATTTTTATTATTGTTTTATTAATATATTATTAAAAAAATTAAATTTGAAAGTTAAAGTGATTAAATAATGAGTAATTTGAAAGTGAAGTAATTAAATTAAAAAATTAAACTTTAGTTACCAAAATAAGAGCGAGAAGATAGTTGAGTGAGGAATGATTCATTTTACTCATAAAAAAGTATCATATTGTAACAGTTTCTCTCAATTTTTAATGGTAAGATACCAAAACGAAACAAAAAATAAACATTAAGCATGATTTTGAAACAAATGAAAGTTTAGGTAATTAAATAAAATAAAAATAAAAATTTAGGTATTAAATGTGTAGTTTATACTAAATTACTTTGATAGAACAGGTTTGGTTTTATTGCGTACCAGCATGTGCGCATGTTAACCGATAGCAGTGCTGAAGGAGAAGAGGAGAGCCGAGGTGGAAAAAAACGGGCGTTTACCTTACCTGATGTTAACATTCGGTAAAAGAGAAATTCTTTAGGCCCGGCGCATGTTAGCTCTCTCTTTACAGTGATGGAGGCAAAAGATCGTGGGCTTAAACACACCGACGAATCATTGCTTCCAATTTGTCAACTCAGTGAGATATTGGCATTTGAAGAATGGTAATTGTTAAGAATTAAATATTGTTCGTATAAATTAATTAAGTTAAATCCAAAGTTTAATTATTTAGGCCTAATATAAAAATTGCCTAAACTATATATTGTTTTATAAAGTGGTGTCTATTTTTTTCCGGTCAATTCAGAGGTCTAATATTACAAATATTATCACTCTAGGTGCATGTTTATTTCTACCAATCCAAGTGTCTAACGTTACAAACATTACCATTTTATGTGCATGTTTCGTAACAGACGTGTCACATTTTGATTTCAAAATTTTCAAAAAATTCAAAAATCTTTTAAAAAAATCCTAAACTTTGAAAACCCTAAATCTAATCCATATACCCACATCGATCACCGTCATTGCTGTCGTTACCATTAGTCGAACCTCCACCCAGTCGTGCCTCCACTCAAAGAAGAGCCACCACATCCGAAGCCAATAGGATCTGAATCGAGTTTATTGTTTCGTCGGGTTTACCGTTGATTACATCATCGAGGTGTGTTTTTCTGGGTGGTTGTTTGGGGATAAATAACCCTCGGGTGGAGGCACATTCAAGGGTAAGCTCAGTCGACAAAAATAGCGGCCAAAATGACGGTTGATGTAGGTATAAGACTGAAATTAGGATTTTCAAAGTTTTTGAGATTTTTTAATATTTATTAGAAATTTGAGTTTTTTAATAAAATAAATTTTTTATTTTTTAAAAATATTTCAAAATTACCAAAATGTAACATGTGTCATATAATAACTTTTTTAATAATAGTTACATACCATACATCTAAAATAATAACGTTTGTAACGTTATACTTAGATTAACCGAAAAAAGGTTTGGACATTACTTAAAAAAAAGTATAGATTGGATATTTGTTTTTATATTAAACCAATTATTTATTAATATTTTAGTAGTAAATGCTTTTGAAAGTGTTCTTTATTATATATAAAAATATTGTATGATACATTGATTATACAATTTTTCTCTTCATTATCAATTTTAGTCTATTTTATGCGTTAGAATATATATAATTGGTGATAATAAATGTCAGAATGGGTATAAAAATAAATTCATAAAACCTTTTAATGGTAAAATGAGATATTATTTTATTTAAAAGATTTAGGTTTAAGCAAATATATTTATATAGTATACATCTATTACCAAGTAATTAATTTTTTAACATATATTAATTTATAATCACTCTATATTATAAAAAAATATAAAAATAACTCTTAAAACCTATAGGATGAAAAAGATTTTTTATTTTATTGAGTGCCAGAGGATTTTATTTGTTTGTCTAATTATAACGTGTTAATTAATATTTGTTTTCTTTAAAAACATAAATAACTTTTAATATTATATTTAGTGAATCAAATAGCATTCGAGCACTTGTATGTAACATATAAATGTTCATTATCAAAAGATAAAGAGTATTTAAACAAAAAAAAATCCACTCTGCCATTCCACAAAACAAATAAACAATAATCAGATAATTAAAGAGTTAATTAAGTTTTACATTTGGTTGACTACTCACTATCGTGCTTTAGTTATTTTAACCACCTCTCTTTCTCCCTATAAAATTCGTAACTAAAAAAGTAGCTTAAAATATATATACCTTTTCTTTCTTGCTGTTGAGTGAAGTGAAAGAGAAAAACTTTAGAGCTCAACAGCCATGAAAGGAGGAGAGGAACGTAGACGAAGTTTTCGATGGTTTTAAAAAATAATGGTCAACACTGTTCGGTTGGTTACTGAAACGTATCACCAGCATTGGAATTGAAGCTAAGAATTCGGCAATGGTTTTGAGATCCGGTGAAATAATTGTTTTTAAGACGAACGTGAATTGATTCTTCGTTTTTTCCCATTTCCCCTCCTCTTAGTTTATGTTTCTGTTCGCATTATTGTTTCGAAATTAAAAAAGATCGAGTAAAGAGGTAAAAGCAATGGAGTCTCGGATGGATCATTACGAGATCATGGAACAGATCGGCCGTGGTGCTTTCGGTGCTGCCATTCTCGTTCATCATAAATCCGAGAAGAAAAAGTATTTTTTTTTCTTTCTACTTTCTCACATTCTTAATTTTTGAATTTTTGGTAACTTTTTTTTAAAAGAAATTCAGGTATGTGTTGAAGAAGATCAGATTGGCACGACAAACGGAGCGTTGCAGGAGATCTGCACATCAAGAAGTTAGTTTATTTTTTTATTTTTAAATTAAGTCTGTAACAGAGTTTAATTTCCAATCTATAAAATGGTTTTTGAATTTTGTGGAATGTAGATGGCACTTATTGCACGGATTCAGCATCCTTGCATTGTTGAATTTAAGGAAGCTTGGGTTGAGAAAGTAAGATACAATAATACCTTCTCTTTTTTTTTGGTATGAATCTTGACTGCAAATTTAACTTTTACAAGTAGCTTGCTAAGAACGTGACAGCCTTTCTTAACGTTGATATCAATTTTTTTGTTTATTTATTATGTAGGGTTGCTATGTTTGTATTGTTACTGGATACTGTGAAGGTGGAGATATGTAAGTTTCTAAGTTGAATTGAGAACTTTGATTATGAGTTTTTTTGTTTTTGAATTTATGCAATCTTTGTAATCTGTCAATATTGTTCTTTTTCTTATTCCTTTTAACAGGGCTGAATTGATGAAAAAATCAAATGGGGTGTATTTCCCCGAGGAGGTACCATAATTTTACAAGTTAGTTTCTTCTCTGGCTATGAGTTATGAGTTATGACTAACTGTTAAAAATGATGATCGTGAACACTGTACAGAAACTTTGCAAATGGTTTGCACAGCTGCTTCTGGCAGTTGAATATTTGCATTCAAATTTTGTCCTGCATCGTGACCTTAAGGTATGTGTGTAAATTTAAATTAATCCTTCAATATCAGCTTAATGATTTCTTGACTGATTTTTAGCACTTCTTGCTAGTGTTCCAACATCTTTCTTACCAAAGATCAAGATGTGCGCCTTGGTGAGTTTGTCTTCTCGCTTTTCCTCTTGGCTTCTACATGTTCTCTACTTTTTTTTATCCATCATTTAGCCATATTTGATATCCTACTTGGTTACATTTGTTGGGTTTATTATCCTAAACTTTCTTTCTGATTTGTACTGGTTTAGGGGATTTTGGGCTTGCAAAAACTCTAAAGGCAGATGATTTGGCTTCTTCGGTATGTACCATGTTAAATTATTTGTAACAACCTTTTTAAAAAACTTTTCAACCATCTCCAAGGATGGGAAAGAATTTCATTCTTCTATTGTTTCTCTTCTTTTTCTTCCTATACTTGGTTGATGAGCTCATCCTATTTAGCTTGAAATAAGAGATTTTCTCGGTTTGCACTTGCCTCAATGCTGGTGTATATTTTATAAAAAAACCTTTCATGTTAGTGTGGTTACTTATAAAGTAGATTGTTCCATTCTACCAAGGTTGCTGTCACATTCTAATATGCTGAGGAACTGTAGTAGAAAATAGTGTATGTTTAAAGGAACGAGAAAAATGTGTGCCACAGCTTGCAGTTAAACTTTGTGCTAATTTTAACCTCATTTGCTCAGGATAAATTGTTTCTAAATTGCCAAGTTATATAAGAAAATAATCACTGCTGAGAATATATATATGTATATATAATTTTTTTATTTAAATAAAGAATTAAAAAAGGAATCTTGTTGATACCCTCGTGTTCCAGTGATCAATGACCCAGATGCTGTAAAATGAAGAATATATACAGTATTTAACTTCTGGTTCTTTATTTGGAATGAGCTAATATTAGAAGATAGAGAGAGATTTATTTAAAAAATTTTAACGGTCTTGTAACTCTTGTTTTAATAATTTAAAAAAATCTAAAAATTTGAAAAAGGAATAGATATTGGAGTGCTGAATATGTCTTAACTATCATAAACGTCCAAAGACATTATACAATATGTATTGGGCTATATTTGATATCACTTTACCATTTTGTAGTTATTAATTGTTTTGTACATGGCTCAGGTGGTTGGAACTCCCAATTACATGTGTCCTGAATTGCTTGCAGATATTCCTTATGGTTTCAAGTCTGATATCTGGTCCCTGGGTATGTCTCCTAATGAGAACATGTTTGACACGTGTAGACCTTCTTCTAGCTAAATTGTTTCTTGTTTAACAGGGTGCTGTATTTATGAGATGGCTGCTCATCGCCCTGCTTTTAAAGCTTTTGTAAGTGTTCTTAAGTTCTTTTGCTCGAATATGTTCCTTGTATTCTGCATTGTGATTATGACAACCCCTCTTTTTGGGTGTAGTTTATAACCTATTGTGGCAAGTAGCATGTGTTTCATTTGATATCATGCTGAACTAGGAAACTGTAAAATTCCTAAGTTTTTGTTCTTCCTTTTGTTGTATATACTGGATTTTCAGTCAAATGTTGTAAAGGTTCATGTTCTATTCTCCACTCTTTTACGCAATGCTTTCAATATGTGATTCCTTACAACTGTTACTTTTTGCCTCCACTAACTTCTATCAAACTTTTTGTTCTAGGATATGGCAGGGTTGATAAGCAAGATAAATCGTTCCTCCATCGGGCCTTTGCCTTCTTGCTACTCACCATCTTTGTAAGTCTTAATGCACATTGTAGAGCTCACCATTATGTTTTCATGATGACCAAGTATTCTCTATGATTTTTCATGCTTCAACTAAAACTTTCAATGCTTTATTGTCTCTTCATTGTTCTAGTTCTCTACTATCTTTTATGTATTTTATATTTGGATAAAGTGCTGATCTTTTAAATCAAATACGTATTCATCTAGGAAATTTGAAACTAGTTTCACGGAAACCTTAAGCCTTTATCATATATCAAGTTATTAACTCCTCTCTACATGGTAGGTAATTGGTTTAACGTTAAACATGCAGGAAGATGCTGATCAAGGGCATGTTAAGAAAGCATCCAGAGCACCGACCCAGTGTAAGCATTTATTTGCGCCCAACTCTAAGAATTCTCCACATGCAGGACTTCAATATACCAATTTGATTATTTTCACCTTGCTTAGGCATCGGAACTTTTGAAGCACCCTTATTTGCAGCCATATGTTGATCAGTTTCGCCCATCCTTCGGCTTTTCTTCAACAAATTGTTCCCAGGATGAGCATATTTCGTCTGGTCCTGATAATGTGAAAAATATGGCCG